GACATGCTACAACTATAAGACCATCTTCATCTGATATTCTCTTATGAGAAATGGATTCTCTGATTGTTGGAAAAATATCACTATGTGACAAATTGGTAGACATTAGAGGATTAATTTTTTTTTGAATATCATTCAATTCTTCAAATTCCACATTACCGTTTTTTCCAAATGATTCTATACCGCCTGTTTTTTCTTTAAATTTTAGGAATTTAGTATTCTTTACATGTATGAGGCATATTATTAGAAATTAGTATAATCATAATAGTTTATAAAATACCTGAGGATTTGATTAAAAATGATGATGTTTTAGTATCTGATAATGATGTATTTCTGTTATATAGCTGAAGAGAATGACCATTAAATTCTTCAAAATTCAAATTTTTGAACAAATGTGGATTTATCCATTCACTTGCATCCATATCAGTCAATCGAGGTAATTCATAATAAATTGTCTATAAATAGAAAGAAAACATTATTTAAATATATTTTTATTTATTTATTTAATAATTTTAAATAGTAATTTTAATATTACTTGTAAGGTGTAGTTCAGTATAGGATGAAAAATAGAAAGATAAAAATCATCCTGAATTTTGTTTGAATTTCTTGCTAATCCATCTTTCAAAGTTGCAATTGCGGCATTGTATAATCCTCTATATTGTAATGTTGCATGATCAAAATTCATTTCTTCCAATATTTTGTATAATTTTACAAAGATAATCTATTGTGAACAAAATATTAATATGATTATAATTTTTTATTAGTTTATAACTTAACATAATACAATTTACCTGAGCGTAAAGACGCATACTATATTGTTGTCCTAAACAGCAACGGGTAATATAATTGAGTGCCGTTAAAATAAAATTGCTTTGGGAATCTTTGGGTAGAAGTTTGGAAACATGATAAATGATACACATTATGGAACTAACACATCCTGGACGTGTTTTAATACCCTACACATATTATATTAGTTAGGGACTTCTTATATTAATAAAAGACAATTTCACAAGAGAAACACAAAACTTATTTAAATACCTTCTCAAAAAATTCCCAGATTTTATCATGAAATTCTATATTTTCCACAAAAATTTTTATTAATATCCATTCTTGCATTATTCGAACACTATGTTGATTACTTTCCAGAAGTATTAAATTACAAAGAAATTCTTGCAGTATTACAGTATTATCCTGTAGATGAATTACATGTTTTTCCTACTATATTACTACAATTTAAAATAAAATGATACGTAATTTACATACAATATTTTGTTACCTTAGTTAAAATTGGCTGTATTATTAATAAAGTTTGCATAATTCGATGCTTTATTTTATGTATGTAAGAATGATTGAAATATCGTTTATTTTTGTATTTTTCCAATCTCTGTAAAATACTTGGGAGAAATGTTGATCCAAATTCTCTATCTTCATTAATTATCTGATGTAGCAGAATGACAGAAGCTGCTCTAACATTAGCATCATTATTATGATCTCTATTAATGAAGTTAAAATATTAATAAAAAATGAATATATAATATAATATTAAAGAGTATAAAAGTACCTACATTATTTGTATATGTTGTGGGTAATAGCTATGATAATTTTTTGTAATATATAAATAGACTTGATTTTCTATTTGTTTATCTTTTCGAAGTACATGTCCATGAAGGAGACATGCTAATAGTGCATCTTGTAGATTTTTTAAACAGCACGTGTTTAAAAATTTCATTTCATCTAATAAAAATTTTTTCAGTTTTGGCACATTATTACTTTCTTCCAGTAGTTGATTAAGAAACTAAAAATTAAAAATAATTTTAATATACAAGAAGAGATTCATTTCTTGAAAAATATATTACTATCTTACATTTTCTACAAAATCATTAATATTGGGTAATACCAAAAAATTATTGTTTATAACAACTCCTATAAGATTTTTTATTGCTAGAAAATAAATCTTGTTCTTTGTACTCAACAAAGTGGTTTTCCAACATGTAGTGAAAATAGATATCAAGTTTAATTTATTTTCTAGATCCCCTATTGCTCCCTTATTAACCATTGTTTTTAATATCAGTGCTACTTCTGGAATAATTTCATTTCCTCCCATTTCATATAAATAGGAAATACTTTTAATCCAGTCAATGTTTTGAGGCCATAATTTTATTTCTACTTTCGTTAAAAATTGATTTACAAGTCTAGCAAGTAATACATAACAATCTGATGCTATCTTCCCTTTCAGTTCTATTTCAGATTCATCATTACTAGGTATGTGAATATCATGGATATTTAATAATGGTTGTAAATAAAATGAAGTGTGGTTTGTACATAAGACATTTTGAGTATAATGTAAGATATATAAAGCATATATGTAATGCATGTTTGTATATTGTTTTATATTTTGAATAATAGTTATACTATCATTTTTGAACTTCTCAACATAATGTAAAATTTCCTGTTTTGTTAAAAGCAAGTTTCCATTGTTAAGAGTTGAAGTAATTGCAGTGAGATATCTGTTTAATTCTTCATAATTAAACTTGTATGGTATGCTTTTGCTGCTTTTAAGTAAAAATTTTAATGCATCATTAATATATAAAGTGAACAGTTGTATAATGCTCTCCTGTGTATCTACGTTACTTAAATTAAGTAAATATGACATAAATTCTATCATATAAAAAATATGTGCAGTATCTGCATAAGGTCTTGTAGCTATCCCTTTCAGTGATGATAGCCAATTATTGAGTACTCCTTCTACAGGACATGATTTCTGTTGTAATATTAGACCTGCATCATGAAACATTATAACAATAAGAGCAAATTTTGCAGGATTGAATTTTACATGCAAATTTTGACATGGATGTTCCTTACAAATAAATTTAATAAAATTTATTGCATCTACTTTTACTAATACTTCTCTCAACCATGCTATTATAATATTCCATAAAAATGAATTTCTTATGAAAATTTCTTCTAAAGGAAATTCTAACAACATATCCATTACAATTTTCAAATCATTAATTTTTTTTATAGAGAGAGGAATTGTTTTTAGAAGTTCAATCTGAAATGCAATTCTTAATATATGAGAATGCATTTGGTTTTTCTGAATTAAAGATTTAATTATATTTAATTGATCATCTTCCCAATAATTTAATACTTGACTTGAAACTGTCCTTAAAACTTTCATCATATAAAATATTGGTATAGGAGCCCATGTTTCTTCATTCATTATTTGAAGAACTTTATTTAAAAATTCAACTTGTTCCTTTTTTACATGTATAAATAATGTTACAATATTGTTTAATATTTCTGGTTCTTGTTGATAAGTTTGACATTCATATAAAAATGTATTATTTAAAACATGTATAAATAATTTTACAAACTGATCATCGTGTAAAAGAGCAGGTAATTTACAAACATACAGTATTCCCTGTTTTACTATAGTATTATTTTCGTGCAATAATATTCTTTCAAAACTTAGTTGTAACCAAATGTTGCTAAAGCAGTTGTTACATGCAGCATGCTCCTGACTTCCTTTTACCAAAATTGGTAAATGAGTTAATGCAGGTAATATTAGATGATGTTGTTTTTCTTCCAATGCTTCTAATATCAAGAAATAATTTTGTCTAATGTCATTTATTGATATTTCTGTTTTAATAGATTGATTGCATAGGAAAGGAGTAATTGTGTACTCTATCGATTTTAAATTACTTTCAGCTATAGTACTCATAAAACAAGTTATTCGTTTCATTATAAATAACGCTTGTTTACGATACTGCTGTATAGGAGACTTTAAGCTCTTCATTATTAATAACCATAGTTGTTTTGTACAATATAGATCATGATGTATAAGACTCTTATCTTTTAAATTTAATGAGAAATATATATCTACTAAAATGCTGAGTGCACTTAATAAATCTTTCAAATCATCTAATTCATTTAAGATACAATTCCATACAGCTGGGAAAATACTTTCAGAATCAAAGGTATTTATTAATTTTGGGAAAATTGAAGCAAATAATTGCCATTCCTTATTTTCTTTCATTTGTAACCATAATATTATATCTTTTAGGTACAAAGAATTAAAACGTTTCAGTAGATTTGATTCCAAGTCATTATATAGAAATTTCTTTAATTGTAACGATTCTAAAAAGCATTCTAGTATTTTCATATACAAAATTTTACTTTCATTACTATTCAAGGTATCAGCATTCGATTTCTGAAAATTTATCAAGTGTTGTTCAATACACTGTACATCACAGTGAAGCGTTAATCGTAAAATTATAATATCGTATAAAATTGGATATTCGATAAAATTTTGTAATTTTTTTTTCTCCAATAAAGTATTTTCTATAATTTTAAAACATAAATCATTTGACACTGCTTTAGAATGTTTCTTTTTTGTATCAAATATAAGTTGATATTCATAACATAATATCATTCGAAATGTATGTAATTGCTTTGCATATAAATTGTCTTTTAGTATTTCGGCATTGTAATATTTGTTTAAACGATGTAGCAATAAAAATGGGTCATCTTTGAATGCAATGTCTAATAATTCCAAGATTGAAAAATCTATTGTTGAAGTATGCATATAGCGTTCATGCAGATCCATTTTGTTGTAATTTTTTATTTTTATATATTTAGACTTATTTACATATTACGTAAATATATATATCTCCATAAAAATTTTAATGTATTTTATTTAAATATCTTCAATTCACAAGAATTTGTTACAATACAGTATTTTATTTAACTTGTGCATATCTTTACCCACATTTATACCCACTATACAGCTGCTAGCCTACCAGTTAACCAATTATACCTAACCAATAAACGCGCACGTGGTTATTTAGAAATATACATATGTATCAAACGGTAATTTATTTCGTCATAAAAAGTCAATAACAGATTTTTAATAAGTTCTTTATGAATTTGTGAGACAAATTGTGTACATCTCAAACTGAAGCAAACACGACAGTGGAGACTTCAACACTTAGCAGTTTCAGGAAATGTTGTATTTTCTGACAACAGGAAGCAACTTCCTGAAAATCATTAGCTTGGTCAAACAAGTGGTCAATAGCCGGCACATAAGTTTGACGAGAATGGCTAAAAGTAAATTTGAATATGTGAAAGAATTTGAACGTGATGACAGTTGTTTGCCAAATTGTTGGATTGTGGTTAGAATTGATGGAAGGAATTTTTCAAAATTCTGTGAAGCGCATCAATTTACTAAACCGAATGATGTAGCTGCTTTGCAATTAATGAATCGCGCGGCTATTACGGTTATGGAAGATTTTAAAGAAATCATTCTAGGTTTTGGTCAAAGTGATGAATATTCTTTTGTCTTTCGAAAAGACACTGAACTTTACAAACGAAGAGGTACGTACGTTTTAAAAAGTAATTTATAACATGATAAATTTAAGATGATAAATAATTAATATGGAAACACAAAAAATGTATATGTGCATGTATATGTATTGATTTCTATACAATTATTATTGTTTACATGTTACATAATATTTGTATTCCATAATGTTTAATAACACAAATATATTGTTTAAGACATTTTTATAATATTTTAGCTTCAAAATTGATGACAAATGTGAATTCTCTTTTTGCATCATCGTATGTTTATCATTGGCCACGTTTCTTCCAAGGCAAGGAATTATATTATCCACCATCTTTCGATGCCCGTGTTGTATTATATCCTACAGATAAAAACTTAAGGGATTATTTAGCATGGCGACAGGCTGATGCTCATGTAAACAATTTATATAACACCTGCTTTTGGAATCTTGTATTAAAAGGAAAGCTAACTCCAACTCAGGTAAACTCTCCTATAATACATATATATAAAAAAATGATAATTATGTACATGTATATGTGTAAATAATTATATATACCTTAGTAATTTTGAATCATATTTCTAAAAATTATTATTTTTATTTATTTATTTTAATTTTTAGGCAGAAGGAAAACTTAGAGGTACATTGGCATCACATAAGAACGAATTACTTTTTCAAGAATTTGGTATAAATTATAATAATGAGCCACCACTTTTTCGAAAGGGTACTACACTTATAAGGAAATTAATACCTGATGGGACAGGTAGATTAAAACCTGCAGTGGTTCCATTGGTAGATGATATTATTGGAGACCGTTTCTGGAAAGAAAACCCGGAAGTACTCGGGTTAAAAAGTTTAGCAACTTATCAACCTCCAAATTTAGTAAATAATGTTAATTCAAATCCAATTAGAACAACAAAACCACCATCTCCAACCACGAACATGAAACATATTAATAACACTCCACCACCTCCAGTTGCTAATGTGAATTCTATGAAAGAAGAAGTGCATCCAGCAAGAAGCCGAGAATCAGATGGAGAAAGAATGCAGTGTGAAAGTGAACGAATTTGTAGAAGATAAGAAGTGTTTTATATTTTTTTTATAATAAATTTGAAAAACATCCTAACGGAAAATAATGGAAGTTTATTTCCAGTAATATTAAGAATATTTTAATCGCGTTTTATCTGAAGTGGTAGTATTATAAAATGTTAATTATTAGTGAAAGAATTACAAAGTACAGAATTGATAATTCTGACTACATTTATGATTCCTTTGTAAATTCTTCACTTAAAAATTAATTTTTATCTTACTACTTTTTTAGAGAAATTATATTTTTATATGATAAATTGCATATTTATGTATATACGTGTACTTTCACATACATATATACACATGTACATATATATGTATATGTTATAAAAGTGTTTTAGAGAAATGGATACGTATACATATATATTTGAAAAAATATTTTTCGTTAGGATTTCATATTTTAAAACTTATTCACTTTCAGTATCGCATTTTCTAATAGCAAAATATTGTATCAATTAATCTTAAATTATTTATGAAATGAAAGGCTGCTCTAGAGTAAATGTACTAAGATTTTTATAAAAAAATCTTGTTCATAAACACAGAAGTAGTTTACTAAACCATTTTGAATTAATTTCAGGTATAAAATTTTATAATTCTGCATGTGTATGTTTGTAAGTTCTATAATAATCAGTTTGAATATTATCGTATGATGGATTAATTTGAATATTATTACACGATCTATTACATTAAATATTGCTTCGTTATTAGAAGAACATGCAAAATATAAGTATTCTAGAAATAAAGGTATTGTAAGTATGTCGTTAGATATTTATGTTGTTTATCTTTTTCATTGTATGGATATACTGACTTACTTACCTGAATAATTAAATTTTCGACATATAATTGATCATATATATGACATGTATATGTATATTGCAAAATTTCTAACTTTTTTGGGTAAAAATGAAGAAAAATGAAAAGCTTCAGTTTATAAGATCTTATTATTTGAATTGAATGTTTTAAACTTATGTGGAATGCATTATATATTATTTTATATTACAATAGAATCAATAATTACAACATCAGAAAATATCAAACATAATATATACTGCTACAATAAAATACACTATGTACACCTATATAATACGAACTCTTACTAAATAATAATTTTATGTATAATAATTTTCAATATCATCTGTTCAATTTGGCTAGAGACATAGTTATATTTGTTTATCTCAGTTGTTAATGAAATAATTATATTTTTTTTCAATTTACATTTGCTTTTTCTCCATAATATGAAATACTGCAGAATTATTAGTTATTCGTGGTTAAGAAATAAAAATAAGAAGGAAAATTTACTTTTGCCGTATGATATTGTTGTATAGTTAAATATAAATGATCAACAAAACATCAAGAAATTTATTAAAAAATTGGAATGTAATTATCTATTTTAGCACGATGCTTTTGTGCAACACATTCCGCTATCCATACAATATTACGGCATTCTTGTTCCTTTAATTTAAGATAACTGTAGAATACTCCAAAGTGAAATTGTTGAAGGAAAGCATGAACATTTAAGCGAACCTGTGGTAATAATATTAAAGTTAGAAAAATTTAAAGATATTTTGCTACATTAACTTTTGTGACAATATTAAATTTACCTCATGCTCAAAGAATTTATCTTCTAAAGTTTTATCACCAGGATTGTTACCTGCACCTTCAAATAAAGCACTGTATTCCTGAAAAAAGAATTCAAATGTAAAATTAATACATTTATATAAATGTATATTGTATATGAATTCAGAGATATAAATTTCTTAAAAAGTATAAGATCTTATTTTTAAAACATATACATACAACAAAGTATTCTGCTACAGCTTTGACCTGTTCATAATCATCAGCCCTTGCTAGTGCGGCTAATCCATCTGGATTTAATTTTCCACAACGTGGATACAATTTTGCTCTATCATCTTTACCCAATTCAGTTCCAAATGAATTTATGGTTATAATAATTGCTCGCCTATCAGCTTCAAACTGTACAAATAATTCGTATTTAATAAATTATGTCATTGGATTACGTTAATTTACATTCATTATACTGGTTGTAATTTTAAATTTGTAAGTTAGAAATAAGATTTATATCCACAAACACATACAGTGTATGGATTGAAGAAAATAAAAAAGAAAAAAATAGATAAGTTGTCATTGATTATATAAAATATTAATTTGAGAAAATTTAATACCGCAAGTATTTCACACATAGTATCTGCAGTTGTCCCACCAATTTCTTTACAAAATTTATAAAATGCTTCCAAATAAGCTTTGTATAATGTATTTCTGATTATTTCTATGTTCATTTCATCCAAATCTTGTTCAGAAATGCAATCCACAAAAAAGGGTGCTAGAATTTCATTGAATATTTAATATAGTAAAAAATAATAAATCAAGGTATGATTAAGGAATACAAACTATTTTATGCTTTCAATATATTATATAAAAATTGTAAGACATATATATTTCATACCTAAATATATATTTCATACCTAAAGGGGTGTCTACCAAAACTGCGTTATAAAGTTCAGCAGGTGTAGCTGCTACATGAATAGCTTCCATTTGTTCGAAACTGCCTAGAGGGTGACATTTAGGGATCAACTCTGAAATTGGTCTTTGATGCAATGTTCCAGTAATTAGTAAAATAATATTATCGATCATATAACTATAAGTAATGAAATCTAAAAATTGCGACAAAGGTTCTACAGAATGGTTGCGCATATGTTGAAATTCCACAACAAGCTTTTCTCTTAATTTATCATCGATCACACTAACAGAAAGTGGTGATGGCTCATTAGCTAAAAAACTGCCATAATCTGTACCAGCCAAATGCAGTTTTAAATCTGTGGAAATAAAAATTAATTAATATCGATAGGTATTAATAATAAATTGAATATCATGTACTTTTTAAGTTTCAGATAATTTTTATTGTTTCTGGAACTGAAATTTAAGTGTTGGGTAAAACTTACCTTCAAGAGTTTCACATTGTACAAGATTAAGATAGTCACTTTGTTGAAGAATTCCACATTTAAAGCCTCGGCAAAGGCCCTCCAAATACCCTCCGTCGATGTTAAACATACAACCCTTCATTTTGGAGGATCGTTTATTACAATTACTCCAATTGAAATACCGATACGTCAAAGTTGAAATCGGACTCGCCCTTTTTCGTGTCGATCATATGACCATCTAGCGAGAAGTTTGTTGCAAGCCATGAAAAAATGGCTAAATTTCTGAATGATATCGACTTCGAGTAGCTATCGAATATTTGATCAAACTGATCCATTTAAATTTGATTTTTTCGAATTTTAGTAACTATTTTCTAATAATGCAAAATAATATACAATAGTTTACAACAGGTCAAAGATTATATTAAAATAATCATTAATCTAGTTAAATACAAAAACCTTTCACATTTCTCCTTCGTATTATTATGTATTATATCAAATTTAAAAAAATACTTTGATTTAACACTATATACTAAGTTATTTTGTAGTGATCCCACAACAATGTACAAAAAATGACAAATGCACACGGGAAAACATATTATAAAGCAGTAAATATATTATGGTTTTGAAAGTATGCAAAACTTAATGTACTTAATATATTCAAAAAATTAATTTAAGAAGTAATAAATTGAGTTTAAACTTTTCGATATGAATGTTTAGAGATCGGTGTTTAAAATAATTCTTTAAATAAGTTAAATTTTTAAGGGCAGTAGTATAAAATTCTATCATTTGAAGTATATATACGTACTAAATTTAGTAAACTCATTTATTCCTATATTTATATTTGAGTTATCGAAATCATTTATACATACTACCGAGAAATATATTTACATCATACATTGAAACCGAGGTGATATTACTACTTCTTTGCATTGTATAGTGAATGACGCATACTAGTATGGAAGACTGTTTTGATGTAATACGCTTTTTACCTGTGACGTGTTTTATCAATTTAAGTGTTCTTGATATTTTACTAATTATTAATTGATTTGTGGTAGAATATATTACACGAAGTAGTATGTTTGGAAAGAGAGAGAATTCAAAACGACAAACAAAACCCACTGGCAGTCTTGCACAAGTATTATCTTGTAATGTTTTTAACCCTACTTTTCGATTGGTTACATTTTTCTAAACATAATATCTTTTAACAGTATGGAATTTTCGATGTACCAGCAACGTTAGATGATATAGGTAATGACTTTATGAATGACGATGACGATTTAGAAGCTGAATTAATAGCTTTAACATCTGGTGATGACAATGTTGGAAAATCTAGACGTGCTGGTAAGTAAATATTATTTGTATGCTTACTATTAATTATCTGTACGATCGATAACATATTAAATACAATATTGATATATTTTATCACTCGCATAGCATCTCGTAAACCAGTTCTTAAAGAAAATTTAGATGTAATGGTAACTGAAAGTATGAAAGATATAAATTTTGAAGAAGAGGTATCTGATGGAGAGGATGATCCAGAATTATTGGTATAAATTCTATCATTCGTGTTTTTATTTCTAATAGCTGTTTAGTTATATTAAACTCATTTTTAATACTTTATATTATGTCAGAGTGAACTTAAAATGATTACGAATGAGGGAATTTCTGAGTCTATAACTCCAGAGAAAGAAGAAAGTTTAGTAGCTGAAAACACAGAACAGTCTGAAACACAAAATGATAATGAAAGTATAATTAAACTCTTAAAAGAAAGATTACAACTTTATGAGATTGCTGAAAAAAAAGCAAAACGAGAAAATGAATTAAGTCGAGCAAGAAGGTTTAGCAGAGGTATTAAGACACTTACAGAATTATTGAAAAATGCTGAGGCAGGAAAATCTATTAGCGAAAACGATATACCACCGGAATTACCACCACATGCTACAGCTGAAACAACTGAGAAAGTACTAGTAACTAATAAAACAGAATTTACAGGTATTATTTAATAGAAAGCCATATTTCTTTTTTTGTTATGATTTGCTTTTTATAATCTTGTAATACTATATTTTTTAGAAGAAACTACCACTGCAGCTGAGGCTGATACTTAT